GTTTATAACTTTGCTTTACAAAGGAAAATTCAAGAGCAAAACCAAGAAAAACTTTACAAAAGCACATATTCTAATAAAAATATCTAAAAGCATAAAAAGCTATGAAGTTATAAGAAGCAAGCATTGAAAAGGATTCCTGCAATCAGACTCTGCATCAAGCGGTACCATTTGTATGATAAAAGTTAAATGACTAAAATAAAGGACAACAGTGGGTTTTTGAAAAATAAATAAATCTAAATGCAGCTTTCTGAAATGAAGGCCTGTCCTTCATAATAAAGGACATATGGTCACTGTAATTATAGGAAACTAGAAGGGTCTTCGACTCATATCACTTCATTATGTTCTTTATGGCTTCTTTTTGGTCTCAAATTATTATAATCTCAACATTGTGAGAAAAACATTTTTTTTAAAAGAGATAAACATGTGATGCTGAACTACACTCCAAAAATATGTTATTTGACATTTTATGAGAAACTTTGGCTTCACTGAGCCCAGGGATCGGTTAAAAAAACTATCTCAACTCTAGTAGAAAGAACACTCCAGACACCAGAGTGGATTCAAAAAAAGTGTTTTTTCCCTGATTTTCAAAATGGCTTTGTATTGGAGAAATGGACTAGACGATGGACTAGCATGTTGATACATGATCTAGATTTTTAATAATACGTTAAAGGACTAAGCTAGCTGTATATTAATAGTGCATGGATCTTTTTCTACCCTATTAAAAGTTTTAATTCCTTTTTATCACTATCACAGATATTCCTGTTGTAGTCTCTTTCGTTAAATTTGGAAGGAGGAGGAGGAGGGATGCAACAAGCAGGAAGTGATATGATGTCACCAAGGGGATGGGATTTTTGTCTCATTTTCCTTGTTTAGAGTTTCACAATATACAGGTAGTCCCCAGGTTAAGAATGCCCAGGTTACAGATGACCCATAGTTAAGAACAGAGCTTACTCTAGCAAAATTTGAGTTAAATACACAATGATTCGAGTTAAATACACAATGGCTGGAGTTCATTACAGAATACTACTTATACAGTATTATACAATAATACCGTTCTGGCTTACATATAAATTCGATTTAAGGACAAACCTTGGGAATGGAACTCGTTCTTAAACTGGGGACTACCTGTACACGATCCCAACCTGCAGATTTTGTGCTTTCTTAGTTATTGTTTTAAGCTTCCAACAGAGGATACCTCATGCTGAAAGAATGGAATTTCACAATTTACATTTCAAGGAGTTGGGTATATGTGCATGTGCACTGGCTTTTAGTTGTTCCTCAAAACCAAGGAACCAATGTCAGCACTATTTTAGCACCCTGAATCCCCCCAATAAATAAAAACAGAATCTGCAGCACAGATCAAATGGATTGCCAAACACACCTTTTACCAGGCAATTGGCTTGCTTCGTGCAACCCTGCATCCATGAAATCTTCCCAAGGCATCTATTCCCCAATAAAACAAAAATGCCTTCTTTGAAGTCTTACAAGACTATAAAACCACTGGAAATTAGCTATTTTTGGAAGGGCATCCAGAGTGGACTGGAAAACGTTGTTGACCCTTGTTATACAGGTTTGGATATTTGCTTGTTATTTGTAATCCTGCAATTTTGCCACTGTTTCTTTTATTTCTTTTTTCTTATCAGAAAAATCAGTTAGGAAGAGAAAGACAAAGTAATGCAGGAGGCATTCTAAGAAGCTTTGGTCCTGAAGATCTTAATATACTCACATACTTGCTTTTTTCCCACCCTTTATTTTCCTAGTCCGTTTCTCAACCAAGCTAGAACACTGTATTATCACAGCCAAATCCTATTTATTCCAAACTGTTTCTTCAAAATGAAAACTGCAACAGCTGAAAGTGATCTGCATGGCTTTTGACTCCCTTTGGACTTAATCTAAAAAGGCAGATTTTGAGCGATTTCAAAGCACATAGATGAGAAATGCAGTCCTACATTTCATGCATGTTTACGCAAAGTAAATGCTGCTGTGGTTAACTTAGTGGTTAATCTCTATCACAATTTATAATCATGTGAGAAGGGAAAGGACAGAGAATTATGAGTTTCTGGCAAACAATGACAATTTCTAACCTATCTTTCACCTCTACACAGACAACTCCTCCCATCATGTCTCAACTGAATATTTTCTTGTCTACACTTGCAGAAATATTATACATTTAAAACATGCTTTGTTTGGGACTTGCCTGCTAATTAAGATCATCTGTAGAGACCCATCTTTAGGCGCATCTCCCCAAGTTAGGGGACTCTTATACAAATACAGACATTTGGCATAATACATTCCATATATTTTAGTCCTGCATTCTTCTTTATTTAGGGTGAAAATAGCCTGTTTTAATTGTGGCTGATAAAACCAAAGCATGTTGTCTTTCTATCAAAGAAAGGCATTTCTCCAAAATGGGGTTGACATTATGTTCACCTAGAACCTTATTTGCTATATTTCAGATGAGTGAAGAAATTCATCCTTTTCCCTCATTGTTTGGATAAAATTTCATCCATCTTGTTTTAATCTGGTCTTTTAGTGATTTCATTATTTCATTATTACTGTTTTTATCTGATGCTTCTTATTGTTGCTGTTCTTTTCCCATCCATGAAAGTAGGATTTTAATCTGGACACTCTGAGTGGTGGCCATAGCAGAGGGAGCACCCTGGCAATTCTCCCCATCTTTCAAGCTATTCTGAAAGGTCTCCCAACTCTTGGCAGCCGATTTTCATGGGGAAGCAGGGCTGCAGGGAAAGCAAGAGGTAAATCAAGGACGTTGTCCCTTCAGTTCAGTCCCTTGTCTTTCACCTTCCCTTGTGGTCACCACACATCCCCTCCCTTTGACGCTCTGAAGCAGCCAAAACCCTGCTCTTTCCATGCTCCATCCTGCTCTTCTGCCAAGTTTTGAAGACACTCCCTGCTTGCTTAGCCTGTTGCTCAGATTTTTGTCAATTCATAGCTTACTTCCATGCTCCCAATAAGAATAGATAAGTGCATCTTTAAAAAACAGTTATCTGAGTAATCCATTGTTCCAGTATTCTTCATTTATTTTTAACTTTTTAAAGCTGCCTGCAGCACAGGGCTAAAGATTACAGCTAAGCTTACTTAATACTGAACACAAGCTAGGCTGGGTTCCATTAATTTCCCCTGAGAATGCCACCACTCTAGTCAATTTCATAACCCTCTTCTAATGGAAATCCTTAATTCCTCTTTCTCAGACCAAGCACAAAGCAGCCCTCTTCTTTTATAACTCCAATACTTGTATTTTATTAGAAAAAACAGAGTTTTAAAAGGAAGGGGAAGAAAAAGAAAGGGAAGCAGTGACAGAAATAGGATCAGAAAATGTCTTCCACATCTCCTGGGTGCAATTCTTTCTCTGTGCCTTAACTCTGCCTTTTTCTTTTCTCACCTCTCCCTAAATGATGATACTGTCCCCCTTAATGGATTTTCTACACTAAGAAAAATGATGCGAAAAGTAAAAGAAATACATGGGAAGATTTATACACAGAAGAGGTAATGCTGCCTGGACTCCCCCTAATAAAATCCCACAGATAAGGCACAGCTCTTGCACAGGTGGGAGTGGGAGCTCATTTGCAAGTGTTCCAAATGTGTTCCTTTCTGCAACAACATTCCCAGCTCCCACCCAGTACTTGCGGTCACTGATTAAAAACAAACATTCTCTTTCTGCAGTATAACCGCCATCCTGAGCTGGGCCTGGCTTTGTTTGCTCAGCAAAAGTCTGATTCTGATTGGCCCCACACTGACCAATCCCCAGAACCCCTTCCTAACTTCAGCAGATCATCCCCTTCCTATCCAGGCAAGGAGAGAATGTATGCCTGCACACCTAGCTATTTGCAAAAACCAAAATGAAAATAGTAATAATCTTTAAAAGGCTTTGGACGAGAGTGAGGAAAGAGCATGTATCAGCACAAGCTGCAGTCCACAGAAAATAAAAGACGGTGGCTCCACCCTCACACTCCCATGAGCCGACGTGCCCCAGTTGTGTCGAAGAACCAAGAATTGTACACAGCCACTGCAACTTGGGGCTGTCTTATAAACTGATCTTTTAATGCAGGAGGGAGTTGGAGTATGATGGATTTCCTGTTTAGCCTCCACGTGAGTGAGGTGAGTTAACGCCACCGAGGAGATAAATGAAGTCAAAGACTGGAGAAAGTTGGAGGGACGGAAAAGGACTCATTAGCTCCAAACTAAGAAAAAACAGACTTTAGGAAGTAAGAACCTTTTCAAGATGTCCAGACTTTTGAAATTCTGCAAATAGATAACTTTTTTGGTGAAAAATGGGTAGTTGTTGTTTCCAAGGGCAGAAGAAAATGGAATGGAGAAGTTTCAAGCACGATTAACCAAGGGCTGGG